CTCAGCTAGCAGCTGGTGGGTTTGAACTGCTGATCTCTCAGCTAACAGCTGGTGGGTTTGAACTGCTGATCTTTCAGCTAGCAGCTGAGTGCTAAACTGCTGACCTTTCGGTTTGCAGGGTCCCTGCAAAATAAAATTGACCTGAAAAAGGATTCTTCTGTCATAATAAACAGAATTAGTTTTTCAAGCTATGTCTATGTGAAAAATCAAAGACAAATTTCTCAGTCATAATGTCCAGCTCAAGAAGCCAGATATCATGATTCTGGTCTCTGGGTGGGTTCGAACAATCCACCTCTGGGCTAGTACTTGAGCTTTTTAACTGTTTGCGGTTGAGAGGGTGAAACGACAACCTGCCACATGGGAGGAGATATTATATGACAACAGACTTGTATATAGATACATTAAAAATTTCTATAACTCTCTAGGGGAAAGACAGGCAACTTAATAAGCATTTGACAACAGATGTGAATCAATGCTGCAAAAGAGGACATCCAAATGGCCATGAATACAGAAAAATAAATATGGCGGGGGGGCTCAGCATCATCATAAACTGCCAAATTTCTCTGAGGTAATGCAATACCAAGAAATAAAACAGAGATATAAAAAGCTCTATGTTAAATTACATTGCCATTTGAATATCATGGTTTTGAGAAAGTTTAAAATAATACTATAGAATGTTTTTGCAGTAAAATGTCAATTTAAAATGACACTCTAACTTATAAATATTGTTAACTTTGAGAATACAGAGACCAGTGGATCTACAATTGCAATCCACATTCTGAAAATGAGTTGAGCCCACAATTCTCTACAAAGTATAAGTGAAATACTGGCTATCGCGTCTTTCATTTCTTTCTTCAGCCTTTGTTCCTTCACCTTCTTTATTTTTACTATTTAACTATTTGTTATGTGCTGTCGAGTCGATTCCGACCCATAGCTACCTTGTACAGGGTTTCCGAGGCAGTATATCTTTATGGGAGTACAAAGCTTCATCTTTCTCCCGCGGAATGACTGGTAGTTTCGAATTGCTGACCTTAAGGTTTGCAGTCCTATTCATAACCACTACGCTACCAGAGCTCCTTATTTAGCTATTTACTAAGTACGAAGCAGTCTACTTTTTTTTTTTTTTTTTTTTGAGCATTAATAATTCTGTAATATCTGGTATCCAGTACATATTTAAATTCTCCCAATTGTTACAGCAATAGCTTTCACAGCTAAATTTGTTTGTTTGTTTGGAATCAGTCTACTTTTGATGTGGCAAAATATTACCTCCATTTTTTGATACTTTGCACATCACCAACATGGTAGAGGAGTCCCCGTGTGGTATTGTGGGATAAACACTCTACCACTAACTGAAAGGTCAGTGGTTCAAACCCACCAGCCTCTCCTGAGACACCTTGCTACAACTCACAACCTCCTTGACAGCACTTACACAACAACAACAAAATGGTAGAAAGTAAGTACTTCAAGTTGGAAAATCAGCCACGTAGAGGTAAGTGTCTTCATCAGATTAGGCCAGATTTTCTTAGTTAAGTAATTATTTTCAGTGGTACACAGGAGAATGCTGACTGATAAAGTTCAGATACTCTACCTTTGTCACAAGCAGAAAACCACCCAAGGAATACAGTGCACCAGGACAAATGTGGGAAGCGCTGTCCCATTTCCACTGCCTCACAGTTCCATGACCTGAAGATTTTGCTCAGACCAATCCCATACTCTGGAAGGGCAGAGACCTTATGTTGCTAACTGTCATGTTTTCAGGACACGGCACAAAACAGGCTCAAAAATGCTTTGCTGAGTGAATGGATGAAAAGAACATTTTCCCTTAAGAAAATGACCTTCTGATCAAAATGGTAAGATGTTTTAACCTGATAGGGAAACATTCCCACTTGGATTCACATCAATCCCTTCCTTCCAAAATCTAAGGCATGCTGGCATGGCAAATACAGAGAGGTGCTTAGCTGCTTGATCATTACAAATGGCCAACACTGCCTATAAGACAGAATCAATTGGACATAGGTTTTTGCCCCTATGTTTAAAACAACATGGAAAATAGACCTTTTACCTTATGAAGTCTTCTTCCTCTTCTCTCTTTGGCCTCAGCTGCTTGGGTTGAGCCATATTAATCCAGTTCGGTAGAGATTTCAAAAGTCTGCTGATGTCATCATCTTTTGTCCAAGATGCACTGAAGACAAGTTTTTCTTCGGATTGGACAATGCCCCTAAACACAACCAGAAGAACAGAGCCCTGTCAGTACAATGAGGATTTATCCAATCAGCAATTTTTCACCAACTTTTGCTGTAGAAAAAAAAATACCACATTCATCTCTCTTAGTAACATAACTCCTTAACTGAGTTGGGGTCTGGGACATCCACTGCATATGCTACTTTGCTGGGAAACAATTTTTAGATAGCATTCATTGTTTTTTAATTGCTGAGTAGATGGGTAGACTGAAGATAATAATCAGTATTCTCTGCTTTCACAATAATTTGAGGATTTCTGCTTCCACTAGATTTACAGCTTCAGAAACCATACAGGGTTACGTTAAGTTGCAACTGTTGATGGCATTTGCAACAACAAATCAGAGGTCATACATAGGGTAAGTAAAAATGTAAGAAAGGTTGGGATGGAATCTTTGAAGAAAGAGGCTTAATAAACAAAAATATAACTAACTGAGAACAAACAAG